TTGCCAATCGAAAGGACGCCAATTCAACCATTGTGTTGCTGGACTTGCTGACCAAAACATTGGCGGTTCAACCACTGAGCTGCTGAATTGGCTGTCCAAAAGGTTGGCGATTCAACCACTGAGTTGCTGAACTTGCTGACGAAAACACTGAGCTGCTGAACTTGCTGACCAAAACATTGGCGGTTCAACCACTGAGCTGCTGAACTTGCTGACCGAAAGGACGGCAATTCAACCACCGAGCTGCTGAACTTGCTGACCGAAAGGTTGGCGGTTCAACCGCTGAGCTGCTGAACTTGCTGACCAAAACATTGGTGGTTCAACCACTGAGCTGCTGAAATTGCTGAACAAAAGGTTGGCGGTTCAACCACCGAGCTGCTGAATTTGCTGACCAAAACATTGGCGGTTCAACCACTGAGCTGCTGAACTTGCTGACCAAAACATTGACGGTTCAACCACTAAGCTGCTGAACTTGCTGACCAAAACATTGGCAGTTCAACCACTAAGCTGCTGAACTTGCTGACCGAAACATTGGCGGTTCAACCACTGAGGTGCTGAACTTGCTGACCGAAAGGTTGGCGATTCAACCACTGTGCTGCTGAACTTGCTGACCGAAACATTGGCGGTTCAACCACTGAGCTGCTGAACTTGCTGACCAAAAGGTTGGCGGTTCAATCACCGAGCTGCTGAACTTGCTGACCAAAACATTGGCGGTTCAACCACTGAACTGCTGAACTTGCTGACCAAAAGGTTGGCGGTTCAACCACTGAGCTGCTGAACTGGCTGACCGAAACATTGGCGGTTCAACCACTGAGCTGCTCAACTTGGTGACCAAAACATTGGCGGTTCAACCACCGAGCTGCTGAACTTGCTGACCGAAAGGTCGGCGGTTCAACCACTGAGCTGCTGAACTTGCTGACTAAAAGGTGGGTGATTCAACCACTGAGTTGCTGAAATAGCTGACCGAAAGGTCGGCAATTCAACCACTGAGCTGCTGAATTTGCTGACCAAAAGGTTGGCGGTTCAACCACCGAGCTGCTGAACTTGCTGACCGAAAGGTTGGCGGTTCAACCACTGAGCTGCTGGACTTGCTGACCAAAACATTGGTGGTTCAACCACTGAGCTGCTGAACTTGCTGACCGAAAGGACTGCAATTCAACCACTGAGCTGCTGAACTTGCTGACCAAAAGGTTGGCGGTTCAACCACTGAGCTGCTGAACTTGCTGACCGAAAGGACTGCAATTCAACCACTGAGCTACTAAACTTGCTGACCAAAACATTGGCGATTTAACACAGAGCTGTTGAACTTGCTGACCAAAATGTTGGTGATTCAACCACAGAGCTGCTGAACTTGCTGACCAAAAGGTTGGCGATTCAACCACTGAGCTGCTGAACTTGCTGACCGAAAGGTTGGAGGTTCAACCACTGAGCTGTTAAACTTGCTGACCAAAAGGTTGCCGATTTAACTACTGAGCTGCTGAACTTGCTGACCAAAAGGTTGGCGGTTCAGGTCCAGGGAACGGGGTGAGCTCCTGCTATTAAGCCCGGCTCTTGCCAACCTAACAGTTTGAAAGTGGTTAAACCGCTGAGCTGCTCAACTTGCTGACCGAAAGGTTGGCGGTTTGAATCCATGGATTGGGGTGAGCTCCCGCTGTTAGACCCAGCTCTCGCTAACCTAACAGTTCGAAAGTGGTTAAACCGCTGAGCTGCTGAACTTGCTGACTGAAAGGATGCAGGTTTGAATCTATGGAACGGGGTGAGCTCTCGCTATTAGGCTCAGCTCCTGCCAAGCTAACAGTTTCTATAAAATACATATTAAAATATAGTAATAATAATAGTTTTTATTTCTTTCCCGCTTCTTGTGGCTTGGGGTCACACAGCATAATTAAACACATAAACATTGTAAAAATTTATTTAAATACAGATATTAAAGTATATTTCTATAATATATATATATATATATTAAAATATGATAATAATAACAATAATACTATATTGCCATTATTATTATTATTATTATTATTATTATTAATAATAATAATAATAGAAACACAACAAGATGAGACAAGATTACTCTGCTGGCTGTTGTACTTATTATTATTATTATTATTATTATTATTATTATTATTATTACTGTATTGACTAAGCTAATTTCGAGAGCATTGACCCAACTAAAGGCAACTAAAGTGGGTCCATTCTGTAAGATAGATGTGAGCTCAGTCAAATAGACGTGTTTCTTCACGTGTGAACGTGCTGTTCCGTGTTTTAGATATTTCAAAAACCCTACCTTCCTTATTTTTATTTGATTTCCCCCCCTATTATTTTGCAAATATGTGTGTTTGTTTGCGTGGATCACCCTTAGGTGAGTCTTCTAGTTTTCGATTGAGTTCTGCTAGGTATTTTAGAGGGAGGCATTACAAGAATCTGCTGCTTTTGTATTTTATTTTCTATTCTTTTCCTCATATTTATGTTTTTTTTTAATGTGGAATCTGCCTCAAATGGTGTGTAAGGGCCCTCCTACACTGCCATAAAATCCAGAAGGCAGATAATCCACATAATAATAATAATAATAATATCATTCGCCGATACATCACACAGTCCAAGACACGTTGTCCGACGTGTCCGACGTGTGATCCAATTCAACAGCCAGCAGAGTGTCTGCTGTGGACTCATCTTGTTATGTTTCTAATAATAATAATAATAACAACAATAATAATAATAATAATAAACATCACACAGACCTAGACACTTGGGAAGTATCCGACGTGTGATCCAATTCAACAGCCAGCAGAGTGTCTACTGTGGACTCATCTTGTTGTGTTTCCAATAATAATAATAATAATAATAATAATAATAATAATAATAATAAACATCACACAGTCCTAGACACTTGGGAAGTATCCGACGTGTGATCCAATTCAACAGCCAGCAGAGTGTCTGCTGTGGACTCATCTTGTTGTGTTTCCAATAATAATAATAATAATAATAATAATACATCACACAGTCCTAGACACTTGGGAAGTATCCGACATGTGATCCAATTCAACAGCCAGCAGAGTGTCTACTGTGGATTCATCTTGTTGTGTTTCCAATAATAATAATAATAATAATAATAATAATAATAACAAGGATTTAAAGATCAAACTGCAAAGACTCTGGCACTGTGAGAGCCGTTCAGCAGTGGAACTCTCTGCCCCGGAGGGAGTGTGGTGGAGGCTCCTTCTTTGGAAGCTTTAAACAGAGGCTGGATGGCCATCTGTCAGGGGTGCTTTGAATGCAATATTCCTGCTTCTTGGCAGAAGGGGTTGGACTGGATGATGGCCCAGGAGGTCTCTTCCAACTCTAGGATTCTAGGATTCTATGATTTTGGGACGGCTTCACCTGTTCTTTCTCCTGAAACAGGGCTTCGCGCACCTGGGCTTCCCTCTCCAAGGCCAAGCCATGGCTGACCCTGCTTAGCTTCCAGGATCTAAACAGGATTGGGTCCCTTTGGGGTGTTTAGGAAGGAAGTAGGCATGGGAAAGGACCCATTTGAGGTCTTGGCCTGCGGTGGAATGGCTTTGTGGGATGAATATTCCGGTTAAAGGGGCTAAAACTGGTCTTCAACGAGGAAGAACTTCCTGATTGTGAGAGCTGTTTAGCAGTGGAACTCTCTGCCCCGGAGTGTTGTGGAGGCTCCTTCTTTGGAAGCTTTTAAACAGAGGCTGGATGGCCATCTGTCAGGGGTGATTTGAATGCAATATTCCTGCTTCTTGGCAGAATGGGGTTGGACTGGATGGCCCATGAGGTCTCTTCCAACTCTAGGATGAACTTCCTGACTGTGAGAGCCGTTCAGCAGTGGAACTCTCTGCCACAGAGTGTGGTGGAGGCTTCTTCTTTGGACGCTTTGAAGCCGAGGCTGGATGGCTATCTGTCAGGGGTGCTTTGAATGCAATATTCCTGCTTCTTGGCAGAATGGGGTTGGACTGGATGATGGCCCAGGAGGTCTCTTCCAACTCTAGGATTCTACTGTTTATGGACTTTTTGAAACCTTCTGATTTTTTTACAAGCATTTATTTCTTCTGGCTATTTACTAAGCTTCCAACTCTTTGGTTCTTTGATTCTATGATTCTAAGGTTGAGAACCACTGCCTTAGACAATACGTGAAACATGGTCGGTCCCGATCCAGATCCCGTGGCTCGAGGCGGTTTACACATGGTTTGTGCATTTTAGTCTGTAGAAAACAACCGGACCAGTGACAGGTTTTGTGGCGGAAATATAGAATGGGGTGGGATTGGGGGGTGGACACGACTTTGAATGCAAATTAGCCTTGGAAAGGAATCGGGGTGTCACTTTAAGCAGGGTGGGCCCCCTCCCTCTCCCTATGAGAAGGAGCCGGAACCCTTGGCTGCCCCAGAGCCGCTCTGGCAAACAGTGCCTGCAATGAGATCTTGCGTAACGGAGCCTGGCTGGCTTGATGCGCGGCAGCAGTGCGTTTCTTGCTACGGGGAAGGAAGCCTGCCGCCGCTTTGTTGCACTCCGTGGGGCCGAAGCAAAGGGTGGAGCGGCCGGAGGGCCCCCTTGGCCTCTGTGTGTGTGTGTGTATATTGGGTGGGGGGGCTTTGCAGAGAGAAAGAGAGGGGACGGCATCCCTTCGAGGGATGTGGCCGCAGCAGCATCATTGTACGCGCAGGACGCCTGCCCGCTTGTTCCCTGCCTGTCGCTCCCTGGAGCCTTGCCTCTTGCGCCGCCTTCCATCCTCTGGCCGGATTTCATGCGCTTCACCCACCAGGACGGCTGAGCAAAAGGCTGGTGTCTCTTCGCATGGAGTGGGAATTGGATTATGTGTGTTGCTTGATCACTGGGATTTATTTCCTGAATCCCAAAATTATGCGTATTGAGTTGTGACCATAGGGTCCTTCTCCTATTTTAGCTTTTTGGGGTTGCTTTCGAAACCTAAACACCGCCGTCGTTTTCGGGAGTGTGGCGTGGAAGCTCTGCTGACCCTTTGCTTTGTTTTCCAGGTTCTGATGGGAAGCCGAACCGGGATCCGTCCCCTCCGAGGGTCCGCTTTCTAGCCTCCGGGATCAATGTGTGGGGCCGCCCCACCGCCTGAGGATGTTGGTGCCGGCAAGAGGCGGATAGAGACGGCTCCCTTCCCGGCAGGAAACGGCTAAGCGAAGCGGCCCTCCATGGTTTCTGCGCTCTTCCAGAGTCTGCTCTCTTCCTACCTATATAAGATTTACAAAGGAATGTTTACAAAGAAAGTGGGGAACAGTACAAAGAGCAAAAAGGAGCAGCAAGAGGTCCCTCAGCCGGGGCAGATCAAGAGCCCCACTTTCTCCAAAACCTTAAAGAGCACCGTCCGGAGGATCGCCAAGTGCTCCTCCGCCCGGAACCTCTCCACCGAAGAGGAATCGGGCAGCCAGGAGTTCTCCCTCTCGCCCACCTTCAGCTACCGGGTGGCCATTGCCAACGGCCTGCAGAGAAGCCTCTTCGCCACCCACAAGAATGAGGACCTCCCCCCGGACCCCTCCTCCAACGAGAGCTCCTTTTCCGACTCGCTGAGCGAAGCCAAGAGCGGCAGCCGGGAGCATTCGTCGCACACGATGCCCGTGCGGCGCAACCGGAAGAGCCTGAGCAGCCTGGCCCCCTCGGACGGCAGCTCCGACGGGGAGCGCACCCTCCACAGCCTGAAGCTGGGCGCGCTGAGGAAGCTGCGGAAATGGAAGAAGAGCCAGGAGTGCGTCTCCTCCGACTCGGAGCTCAGCGCCTGGAAGAAGGCCTGGGGCCTGCGGAGCAAGTCCCTCGACCGGACCGCCCGCCCGCCCAAGGCCAGCCCCACGGAGCCCAGCTTCAGCTCCACGGGGTGCATCAGCCAGACCCACGATGTGATGGAGATGATCTTCAAGGAGCTTCAGGGCATCAGCCAGATCGAGACGGAGCTCTCAGAGCTGCGGGGCCACGTCAACGCCCTCAAGCAGTCCATCGACGAGATCTCCAGCAGTGTGGAGGTGGTCCAGAGCGAGATCGAGCAGCTGCGGACGGGGTTCGTGCAGTCGCGGCGGGAGACCCGGGACATCCACGACTACATCAAGCAGATCGGGCAGGCGGGCGGCAAGGCCAGCCTCCGGTTCCTGAATGTCCCTGAAGAGAAGTGCGAGAACGTGGAGTGTGTGGTGCACCGGGTTTTGGCAGAGAAGATGGGCTTCTCGGAGACGCAGAACTCGGTGAAGGTGGAGTTCGCCCACCGGGTGGGACCGCAGAGGGACTGCCCCAACGCCAAGCCCCGGCCCATCCTCGCCTACTTTGAGACCGCGCAGCAGAGGGACCTGGTCCTGAAGAAGTCCTACAAGCTCAAAGGGACCGGCATCGGAGTCTCGACGGACCTCCTCTCTTCTCACGAGGTGAGAGAGAAGAAGGAGAGGAGCCTGCCTTCCTCTCAGACGTACGAGAGCATGGATATGAAGCCGCCAGCTGTGGAGGGGAGAGCCAAGAAGCATGCCTGGGAGTCCCCCGACAGCAGCAGCGACAGAGAACTGGAGCCCGATATCAACCGGAACAGTTACGCAAAGATATCCAAGTCGGCCCCACAGATGAAGAGAAGCCCCACAAAGGCGAGGGAAGTGTCGCTCCAGGTAGTTGCAGAGAGCGCCAGGTTCCCGACTCACGTCGGCCACAACGAAGCATCACCCGCAAGACAGGACTTGCCCAAGGAGCCCCTGGGCACCAGCTATGCCACCATGACCCCCCTCTGGCAGTCTCAGAGCGACTTTGGCACCCTCAAGCTCAGTCGCTCCGAGTCGGACTTCTCTAAACTCTGCCAGTCCTACTCGGAAGACTTTTCGGAGAACCCGTACTTCAGCCGGACCAATGGCAGCTCGCTCTTGTCTTCCTCCGACCGAGAGCTCTGGCAGCGGACACATGACGACAGCTCCATCTGGCACCGCAGTTCCCAGGAGCAGGCCTTTGGCCAAGAGGAACGCTTCTACAGAGCCGAGGACGACGCCGACAATGCCGAAGCCATGGACAGCGGCGTCAGCAACGGCCTGGTGTGCGCCTCTGGGGACCGGAGCCATTACAGCAACTCCCAGGTCTCCTTGGAGGAGGGAGACCTCTCTCCCTGGACGGAGTGGAACCAACTGGAACAAGACACAGACCTGGGCTTGGACTCCTCCACTCAAGATGCCTTCACCTACGACCTGAGCAGCTCTTCCGACCAGCAGCTAGACTACGGCCAGATCTCCGAGGCCCAATACGATGACGCGGAAGGCAACGACTTTGCCCTGGACAGCCACTCTCCTTCTGGCCAGGAGCTTAGCAGTGAGGCGCAGGACCCGTGGCCCCTCCAGTACAGCGACTATCCGGAGAGCAACGCCAACACTCTGTACCAGAACCAGAACCGGCCGCCCATCATGTACCGCAGCCAAAGCGAACTACCGAGTGACAACAACTCCCTCGAGGAGGCGCCCCCTAAATCTTGGCACAGCCGGCTGAGCATCGACCTGTCTGATAAGACGTTCAGCTTCCCTAAATTCGGGAACACCTTGCAGCGGGCACGGTCCGCGCTGGAGGTGGTCTGGACCAAGAGCACGCAGAGTCTCAGCGGCGGCGAGGAGACCAGCTCCTCTTTCATGGGGCGCTTCCGGACTTTGTCCCAGTCGACGGCCAACGAGTCAAGCACCACCCTGGATTCGGATGTTTACACCGAGCCCTACTACTACAAGGCCGAGGAGGAGGAGGAGGAGGAAGCGGCGTACAGCGAGCCCGTTGCCGAGAATGAGACGGACTACGTGGAGGTCATGGAGCAAGTGCTGGCCAAGCTGGAGAACCGGACGGGGGCCCAAGAGGCGGAGGACGAGCCGGTACCGGAGCAGACGCCTGAGGAAACGCCCGAGGAGACGCCCTACGAGAGCCCCCACGAGAGCCTCCAGGACGGCACTCCTGAGGAGCCCTTCCCCCATGAAGTGGTCATTGAGGAGGAGGAGGAGGAGGAGGAGGAGGAGGTGGTGGTGGAGGTCCTGGAGTATGTGGCCCATTCCGCCCTCGAGATGGAAGTGGAAGAAGTCCATGAGGACGAGAACCGGAATCTCCCCGAAGTCCCCGTTCCGGCCCCGGTGAAGAAGAAAGTGCGACCGTCTTTCAAAGATGCCGCTCTGAGGGCCTACAAGAAACAGATGAGTGAGCTGGAGGAGAAGATCCTGGCTGGAGGTATGGCATTTGCAATACATTATCAATTAGCAGTAATAAGGGGGGGGGGGAGGGGTGCAATGCAATAATTAATAACTGGGGCGATTAATAAAAAGGTCAACTCCCCTGATTAAGGAGCTTCACCGGCTGCCGTTTGTCTTGAGGTCCCAATTCATGGTGCAGGTTATCACCTACAAAGCCCTAAATGGTTTGGGACCCACCTACCTCCATGAACCAGCCCAAGCTCTTAGATCCTCGGGGGAGGTTCTCCTTTCACCCTTACCATTATCACAGGCTCGTCTTGTAAGCACAAGGGACAGAGCCTTCTCCTCTGTGGCCCCCCAACTCTGGAACTCATTGCCCGGTGAGATTAGGAAGGCCCCCACCTTAGAAATTTTCAAGAGGGATCTCAAAATGTGGCTTTTCCGATGCACTTTTGGAGAGTAGCCATATTATCATACACAGTTGCTCCCCCTTATTATTATTATTATTATTATTATTATTATTATTATTATTATTATTATATTTATTTGTACTTGCCACCCCGAGTCCCCATTGGGGAGATGGTGGCGGGGTATTAAATAAAGATGTTTATTATTATTATTATTATTATTATTATTATTATTATGTATTTGACTGTGTTGTTATTGTGTTTTGGTTTTACTTTATTGCAATATGCTGTTGAGCTTGGCCTCACGTAAGCTGCCCCGAGTCCCCATTGGGAAGATGGTGGCGGGATATTAAATAAATATTATTATTATTATTATTATTATTATTATTATTATTATGTCTTTTACTGTGTTGTTATTGTGTTTTGGTTTTACTTTATTGTAATATGCTGTTGGGCTTGGCCTCACGTAAGCCGCCCCGAGTCCCCATTGGGGAGATGGTGGCGGGTGTATTAAATAAAGATTATTATTATTATTATTATTATTATTATTATTATTATTATGTATTTGACTGTGTTGTTATTGTGTTTTGGTTTTACTTTATTGTAATATGCTGTTGGGCTTGGCCTCATGTAAGCTGCCCCGAGTCCCCATTGGGGAGATGGTGGCGGGGTATTAAATAAAGATTATTATTATTATTATTATTATTATTATTATTATTATTATTATTATTTGACTGTGTTGTTATTGTGTTTTGGTTTTACTTTATTGTAATAGGCTGTTGGGCTTGGCCTCACGTAAGCTGCCCCGAGTCCCCATTGGGGAGATGGTGGCGGGGTTTAAATAATAATAATAATAATAATAATAATAATAATATATTATTATTATTATTATTATTATTATTATTATTATTATGTATTTGACTGTGTTGTTATTGTGTTTTGGTTTTACTTTATTGTAATATGCTGTTGGGCTTGGCCTCATGTAAGCTGCCCCGAGTCCCCATTGGGGAGATGGTGGCGGGGTATTAAATAAAGATTATTATTATTATTATTATTATTATTATTATTATTATTATTATGTATTTGACTGTGTTGTTATTGTGTTTTGGTTTTACTTTATTGTAATATGCTGTTAGGCTTGGCCTCATGTAAGCTGCCCCGAGTCCCCATTGGGGAGATGGTGGATTTGGACTGAGTTGTGATGCTAATACAGTTGTGTTATCTACTGGGGCTCTTTTAATGTGGATGTTCTTAATCGGCTGATGGTTTATTGTCGAAGGCTTTCATGGCCGGAATCACTGGGATGTTGTAGTTTTTATCGGGCTATATGGCCATGTTCTAGAGCAGCATTTCTCAATCTGGGGGTCGCGGCCCCCGGAGGGGTCGCGCGGGAGTGTCAGGGGATCGCCAAAGACCATCAGAAAACACAATATTTTCTGTTGGGCATGGGGATTCTGTGTGGAAGTTTGGCCCAATTCTATCATTGGTGAGGTTCAGAATGCTCTTTGATTGTAAGTGAACTATAAATCCCAGCAACGACAACTCCCAAATGTCAAGGTCTATTTTCCCCAAATTTCCCCAGTGTTCAAATTTGGGCATATGGAGTATCTGTGCCAAGTTTGGTCCGGATCTATCATTGTTTGAGTCCACAGTGCTCTCTGGATGTAGGTGAACTACAACTCCAAAACTCAAGGTCAATGCCCACCAAACTTTTCTAGTATTTTCTGTTTGTCATGGGAGTTCTGTGTGCCAAGTTTGGTCCAATTCCATTATTGCTGGAGTTCACAATGCTCTTTGGTTGAAGGTGAACTATAAAACCCAGCAACTACAACTCCCAAATGACAAAATCAAGTACAACTCCCAAATGCCAAATTTGGTCCAGTGAATGAAAATTTGGGCATATTGAGTATTGGTGTAGAGTTTGGTCCAGATCCGTCATTGTTTGAGTCCTCCAGTGCTCCCTGGATGTAGGTAAACTACAACTCCAAAACCAAAGGATACTGCCCACCAAACCCTTCCAGTTTTTTCTATTGATCATGGGAGAACTAAGTTTGGTTCAATTCAATGGTTGGTGGAGTTCAGAATGCTCTTTGATTGTACGTGAACTATAAATCCCAGCAACTATAACTCCCAAATCTAATCACCTCTCAACAAAAGATTGCCCCAGGCACTGCCAGGCCATCAAATGCTAATCAAGGTGGTCAGTTGAAACATTCACACCTAGCTCCAGCAGACAAGAGTCCTTGTCCCACCCTGGTCATTCCACAGATATATAAACCCCTTTTTCCTAGTTCCAACAGACCTCACTACCTCTGAGGATGCTTGCCATAGATGCAGGCGAAACGTCAGGAGAAAATGCCTCTAGAACATGGCCATATAGCCCGAAAAAACCTATTACAACAGCTAAACAACAGAGAGGAAACAAGGACATCTAATCACCTCTCAACAAAAGATTGCCCCAGGCAATGCTAATCAAGGTGGTCAGTTGAAACATTCACACCTGGCTCCAGCAGACAAGAGTCCTTTGTCCCACCCTGGTCATTCCACAGATATATAAACCCACTTTCCTAGTTCCAACAGACCTCACTAACTCTCAGGATGCTTGCCATAGATGCAGGCAAAACGTCAGGAGAGAATGCCTCTAGAACATGGCCATATAGCCCGAAAAAAACCTACAACAACCCGGCTGATGGTTTGATCGGACTTGCGTTATGCTGATCCGATATTTTAATACTGTTGTGTTTGTGTGGTCTTGTTTGATCTTCATGGCTATTGTAAACTGCTTAAAGAGGATCACGTATGATGGAGGGAGGTCTGAAATCCTCTAAGTCGCAAATAACAGCCTGCAACTCTTAGGATCCTTGTAGTTGTCAGTTCTCATGCTGAGCCCTAAAGGGTTGTGCGCCAGCTCCCCGCTCGGAAGCATGTGGAGAGCCTACGTTTGTGTTTTCGGTTTTATCGTATTGTAAATTGTTGTTTGGGCTTGGCCGCTCTGAGTCCCCATTGGGAGATGGTGGCAGGGTAGAAATAAAGTTATTATTATTATTATTATTATTATTATTATTATTATTATTTTACTGTGTTGTTATTGTGTTTTGGTTTTACTTTATTGTAATATGCTGTTGAGCTTGGCCTCATGTAAGCTGCCCCGAGTCCCCATTGGGGAGATGGTGGCGGGGTATTAAATAAAGATTATTATTATTATTATTATTATTATTATTATTATTATTATTATGTATTTGACTGTGCTGTTGAGCTTGGCCTCACGTAAGCTGCCCCGAGTCCCCATTGGTGGCGGGGTATTAAATAAAGTTTATAATTATTATTATTATTATTATTATTATTATTAGTTCCACTTTTGTGGCTGTGATTCTCAGGGGGTTGTGGCATTTGCAGCTGTGTTTCAGGTTATTTATTTATTTGTCGTGTCAGGGCAACCTGTCATTTGTATTACATTTCTAACAGAACAAAACAAACAAACAGACAAAACACAAAATTTGCAAATTTGGTAGTTGATTAAAAGTCCTTTGACCAGTCTCTGGCCACTTGGAGTGCCTCTGGTGTTGCCGCAAGAAGGTCCTCCATGGTGCATCATGTGGCAGGGCTCAGGGTGCATTGCAGCAGGTGGTCAGTGGTTTGCTCTTCTCCACACTCGCATGTCGGGGACTCCACTTTGTAGCCCCATTTCTGAAGGTTGGCTCTGCATCTCGTGGTGCCGGAGCGCAGTCTGTTCAGCGCCTTCCAAGTCGCCCCGTCTTCTATGTGCCCAGGGGGGAGTCTCTCATTTGTTATTCTGGGTTTGAGCCTGCCACTTTTGGACTCTCGCTTGCTGAGGTGTCCCAGCGAGTGTCTCTGTAGATCTTAGAAAACTATTTCTTGATTTAAGTCGTTGACGTGCTGGCTGATACCCAAACAGGGGATGAGCTGGAGATGTCTCTGCCTTGGTCCTTTCACTATTGGCTGCTACTTCCCGGCGGATGTCAGGTGGTGCGATGCCGGCTAAGCAGTGTAATTTCTCCAGTGGTGTGGGGCGCAGACACCCCGTGATAATGTGGCATGTCTCATTAACAGCCACATCCACTGTTTTAGCGTGGTGAGATGTGTTCCACACTGGGCATGCATACTCAGCAGCAGAGTAGCATAGCGCAAGGGCAGATGTCTTCACTGTGTCTGGTTGTGATCACTAGGTTGTGTCAGTCAGCTTTCCTATGATATTGTTTCTAGCACCCACCTTTTTCTTGATGTTCAGGCAGTGCTTCTTGTAGGTCAGGGCATGGTCCAGAGTGACTCCCAGGTATTTGGGTGCTGCAATGCTCCAGTGGGATTCCTTCCCAGGTAATTCTCAGAGCTCAGGATGCTTGTCTGTTCTTAAGGTGAAAAGCACATGTCTGTGTTTTAGATGGATTAGGGATCAGCTGTTTTCCTCTGTAATAGGCAGTAAGAGCAGCTCCGGAGAGCTTCTGTTCCACCATCTCAAAGCTCCCTGCTTGAGTGGTGATGGCACGATCATCAGCATAGATGAAACTCTGTCCCTTCTGGCAGTGGCTGGTCATTTGTGTAGATGTTGAACATGGATGGAGCAAGCACGCTCCCCTGAGGCAGGCCGTTCTTCTGTTTCCGCCATCTGCTT